TATATATTGTGGTGTATATCGTAAAACAAATACATTTAACTGATTTTAATATTTGCAATAAAGATATGCTGATGGTGACTGGATCACTGGTATAAATGGTGGAGCGACGAAATGGTCTTTTCTTATGTCCGTTAATTTGACCATACGATCTGAAATCGGCCGACCAAATTCTTCACCTTCGACATCACTTTCGTTAATTTGACCATACGATCTGAAATCGGCCGACCAAATTCTTCACCTTCGACATCACTTTCGCCGATTATTCGTTTAAAACATGGATGCAACCACACTGTTTCAATCCCAGGTATGACAATTTTAAGTCATGATTTTATCGTCCGCCTGATACAATTGTGTATAAATATTTTTTGCTTCAACTACAAAAGTTATTTATTCAACTTCAAGCGTCACACAAATGTTACAATGGCCATATTCCACTCGTCGTTCTTCGTTAAACCACATCCACCTGCGCAGTGGTAAAATCCTACTTAAAGAAGACGACCAGTCGAATAGAAAACTGGTAAATACCGCGATAGCACACTGCGTAATCAAGGATGCTTCGGATTGTGGCAGTATGGCTTTTTCATAAAAAAATGTTTTCATCCAGTTTTTGAATTCTGTTAGCCTACAATTATTTGTTGACTTCAATGTGGGTAAATTTGAGTTTTTATTTTCTGAAATTTAATATAAATTATATTAACGTACATATGTTGTTGCTGTGGACTGTGTAAACGAAATTAATACATGGGCCTCTTGGTTGTTAAATTCAAATGTACAGCCATGTCATATATCAAAAGATAGCATGTACATTTTCTCCTAAAGAGAAAATGTACATTCTGGTTACGTAAATTTTCGTTGTCAACGAAATCTATTTTACGAACCAGTCGAATGAAACAATTCGTACTCAACGAAATGAACCAGTCGAATAAGCCCAATATTTTAAAAGTCAGTGGTGACGTCATAATTTTCACTTGCCCGACTGATCATTATCATACAAATATTGACGGCTCATGATTGGAATGGTAAAATCTATTATGCCCTGAGGTGATGAGGAGACCGTAGCCTATTATTTTCAAGTAAGCAAGGCCGCTAGGCTTAAGCTTAATTGCTCAATTCATATTTTTCTTGACAGCAATTTGACCTCTGAAAGGTCATTTTTTGTCAAACCCCCCCCCCTTAAAGCGTTGTCGAATACGTCCCCCAGTCGCCCTTCCCCCCATTCGAAAATTTCGAAGCAAAAAAAAATTAGGCTAGGCTTATGCTCAAGAAAATGGGTTAATGCTTTCACAACTTCCCTTTATTGACGTTCATCAAAACACATCATCAAATACTGCATTCAAGAGATATACTTTAACATATCTGTCACGGTTAACGTGTATTCGGGAATCTAAGAAGCAATATTTTTCAGTGGGCGTGGCCACCGAAAATAAATTCCACGCCCCCTCATATTTTGAGGCCTATAGTATTTACGAACCCAGTTAAACGTGCTAATTATTACATTTTAAAACAATAATTAAAAATGTATTATACTAGGGGGCCGCGAAACTGTGGCCAAGTTGACTTGGTGCCGAGTTGACTTAAATTCGATCATGCTTACGTTGTGTGGTGCGTTGGCAGTCAACTCGCCTCTACAAACTCGCCTCTACAAACTCGCCCCTAGAAAATTCGCCGCCTTGAAAACTCCCCACACTAAATCATCTCACCAAATAAAAAATCCTACTCTAGGCCTAGACTAGCTAGTATGGTATAGGCCTAGCCTTGAAGGGACGAAGGTCCTAATGAAAAACAACGTCGCTCCTTGATAGCTAACATTGTCTATTTAACATCACAATAATTCATTATTAGACCTATAGTTGTTTTTTGAATTGTACTCATCAAATCTGAACCGATACCTCGCCCAACTGGGTCGTAACAAAGTGCGAGCCAGCGAGTCATGCGAGCCATACATTTTAAATCTTTTTTAATTCTTTTTTTTTTCACTGGGGAGCTTTGCCTGTGTAGTCCAGTCATGCACAGTACATACACTTTTGGACTTCTTCGAATCGTCGATCCGAAAGTATGCAGCGCTGATAGAGATGTTAAAATACAGATATACATACATATACACACAGATATATATCTGTCTCTTATACACATCT